ACACACACACACACACACACACACACACACACACACACACACACACACACACACACACACACACACACAAACACACAGAGGGTGCTTTAAGCCCTGTAAGCCCCTTGCTTTTCTCCCTGCTGTAACTTCTAATGTGTTCACCCCCCTCCCATCACCAACACTACACCCCCCAAAAAATCATTCATTATTTCTTTTATATCTCCTTTTCACTTCCAAAGCCCATTTTTCTCAGCGGCTGCCTAGCGTGCGGTATTAGGCTATGTGTAAAATAAATGATGTCTGTAGCCGTAGGGGTATGGCTCTGCCTCCCCCAGAAAACTACCTAACGTCCAAGGAACATTAAACACCCAGATCCTCGTTTAGCGAATAAATAACCATTCATTTGAATGGCTTTGTCTGTGTGTGAGCACTGGACTCTCTGTGCATATTTTACCAGTGCTGTGCCTGCATGCTGTGTGTCAGGAGAGAGGGAGGAAGAGAGGGAGAGGGAGTGTGTGTGAGAGAGGGCCCATTAGAGACTTAATATAGAATAAATGGCCAGGGGCCTGTGTGTCGCCAGCGGACCCTCCAACTCCACAGCGTCATGGTGGGTTACTAATGACCTGAGATCGGGCTCAAAAATGAACTCCTTATATGCATGTCATTTGCAGTGTGTATATATTTATATATTATTTTTTAATTGTGTTTGAAAAGAGAGTAAAACGGTATGAGTGTCATTTATTGAGGGGGCTTAGGGAAGTTCTGCCTTAAATGATTCTTTCCAGAAAACTAAATAAATTAGATTCAATTAGTCTTTAATGGTTTATGTGTTATGTGTTTGTCAAAGTGTGTTTTTTGTCTGTGTGCGTGTTTGATCGCCGTTAAAGAGGACAGTGTTGGATTTCGGGTTTGAAAAAATGTGTCTGTGATTGCCTAGTTAGAGGAAGAAAAAGCTTCAGTTTGGTGCAACGACAAGGACACATCGTATAGACTGACTAATGCATTTTTGTATACTGTACAAACATACATTAGTCAGTCTGTGTGCTCCTTTATTATGGAAGAGAAAAGTGGAAATGAATGGAGTTTCATTCTTTTAAAAGCACAGCGCCTGTCTGGATGTTTCTGTGTGTCATTTGTATCTGCTCATCAATGTGCGCTACATTTGAAGCCGTAAAGGCAAATAGTTCCGTTCCTCAAACAATATTTTCATGTTTTGCTACAACGGCACAAAATAATGCTCAAGAACTATCATGAGGAAATGCTTTTTGTAATTCAGTATAAGCATAGTTGTATTGAAGGTGTCACATTGCATAATTAAGTTGAGTGTATAAAGCTGTGAAAGCCGTAAGTAATACAATTGCAATGCAACCTTGTCAGCTTTGCTTTATTGCGTATTGTAAATAATGTTGCTTTAGTTTACCAATTCTCAGTCTGTACCACAAAGATAAGACTTTTCTAGTTGTCAGCTAAGAGCATTTGCTTGTTTGTCTGACCTTTTTAATTATTATTATTTCGGCATATAAGAACAACACTGTGATTTAAATGTTGTGTCATAGGAGCCCAGACCTTTTATTTCTAATGTTGCCTCACAAACTATTTAATGGCAATGACCAAGAGACTGAGCTGATATTTGGTAACTTAGTAAATAAATAACAAATACCATAAGCATTATGGAGTTCAAACTTTAAGTCTAATTTTCATTGCTCAAAGATCCAATAAATATTGCATTATCTGTATACATTTAGAGAATACCGGCAAATACATACTGTAGGTTAGTTAGTTAGTTAATTTGATTTATTGAGCAGATTTGAAAGTATTTCAAGAAAAAATGAAATTGTTTTTAAACAGAATAAAAAATGATCAGCAACTAGTAATTTCTAGTAATGTCCTAGTTTTACATTATTTTTGCGTGGCTGTTTGTCGTGTTGTGAAAGACATGTAGTGTGTCTAATGCATTATTTAAGTGTCAATATTTGCTGTTGCTTCTGCCCACACAGACGGGTGTGAACTTGTATGTGGTCAAGCTATTTTATTAGGGTCAACAATTTGTCCCTGTGTACAGTGTTTGTTATATGGTCTAACAGGCTGGTAGCAGCACTGTATCAGCTATGGAAGATTCACCGCATGAGCCAATAGGGGTCAAGACCCTTGCTCAAGGGCACACAGTGTTTGTGCAGCAGCACCTGTGGATGTGGGAGACATGACAGCCAATAGCTAGATTGACTCAAGGTAACAGAGGAGTTTCACATCTCTTCTTCTAATGTTTTTAAAAAGACTTACATGGAGCTCAAATGAATAAACACACACACTCAAAACACATTATTCACATGTTCATGCCAGCGAGTGTGTGTTTGTGTATCAGAGGTTGTCATGGCTCAGTAATTAGCGCTGGCAGATGAAACATTGGTCGGATAAATAGTTGTCATGCTGTGGAGTTGATGAACTGTGGGAAGGACAGGAGCCCACACACACACACACACACACACACACACACACACACACACACACACACACACACACACACACACACACACACACACACACACACACACAAACTCATGAATATGTGAATGATGTGTTTTTTGCATGTTAACATGGTCATTTAGTTAAAGAATATGTTTTGATGTTCTTTGCTTTCTCTCTTTTAAAATCTATTTGCACTTTTAAAGATTGAACAGGAAGAGCGATGGGAAAGTAGTTAAGCTTTGTTATTTTTGTATGAACTGTCAATACAAGGATTAGGCTAATCCAATGTTCAAACCTGATATCTGAATAATAGTTTTTTACGTTGTTTATTGTCGAAGGTTAAACACATCTGCTTATAGGATAATGCATGTATGACTTAAGACATTACTGTGGATTTGTATTCTTCCATTTATGTTTTATGTTGTTGATTTGATTTTTCTATTCTTTCTGTGACCGTGTGTGTGTGTTTGTGTGTCCATCTCTCCATCTGAAGTATGCTTTAGGTTTCATATCGGAAACGTTGATTGTCTCTAATGTCTTGTTTGTTCACAGTCCTCCGGCCCTTCTGTTTGTTTATGCGGGGCCAGTTTTGCCCTACGCCACTTGCACAAATAATTATGCTCACTAATGAAGGGGCCCGCAGCCACAGCACTCTGTAAATGCCTTTCTGATGAGAGGCAGTAGGAGACAGCAGGTGCAGGGTGGGCCTCCCAGGGACTAAGATTGAAGACCAGGAAGTCAGGAGGGCCCGCGCCTCCACCCCTCTATTTTTCTATTCCTCTCTGACTTCCTGGTTCTCTTTATTCTGGCTCTTCAGTGACTGTCTTTGGTGAGTGTCCTGATTTAGCCACTGTATACTCTTCTTATTCTAAATCTACATAAACATGAAATTCTATGTACCGTAGTCTGAGATGAGCTAATTCCATGAACACAATAAAGCACATAATATACACATTTAATATATATGTGTGGTATTCTATATCTTAATATGGGAATACATTCAGAATAATGTAACCAAAGATGAATCACTTTTCTCTGTTTCACTGTTGACTGTAACAGACATAGTTTCAAGTTATGAAAAAAATCATATACATATTTGAACAAGTTTGGAAAACCACTTTACAAGTCGTTCATTCTGTAGCTTAATTTAAACAAAAAAGAACTTGCGCTGATGTTGTTTCCTAATCATCTCCTCCGCAACCTCTCATTCTTTCTCTTCCCACATTTCATTCTCCCCCTGTGGCTTCCTTGGGCTATGAGGGCAAACAAATAAACAAAACAAAACATTTATAGACTCAGTGCTTGCATCTTGGCCCCAAAATCCCTGCACTTAGAGCTGAGCGAATGAAGCATGCGGAGAAGGCCCATATGAGAAAGGCAGACAGAAAGACATTTGGGCTCCTTTCTCTGCAAACTTTTACCCCCCTCCCCTTCTCCCTCTGTCTCTCCAAAAACTTCATAAGCAGTAATACTCTTGTGTACGCGTGTGTGTGCACGAGAGCGTTTGACTGTTGGTTTGTAGGCACATGCGTGAGTTTGGCTATGTGTGTGTGTGTGTGTGTGTGTGTGTGGCAAGTAGTATATGTTGCACGTGTGTGCGTGCATTTGCATGTGTGTATTTGAGCAGGGTGGTGTCAGCTCGCTCCTTGCCACCCCATTTGCTGTAGCTGTACCGCTGTGATCACAGACAGATGTATAAATCAAACCTCGCTTGATGGATTCATCAGGGTGGCGAAACGATCGCCTGAGAAGAACTCGCAAGTCTCTTAGCGTTCTGTGTTCTGACGGAAAGGGTATGCAAAGAGCCTAAATGGATGAACGCTTGATTAATTCTTTGCCGGAGATGTTGGCGACAGCAGGAAATGTGTTTTTGCTTTGACTGTGTTTGCACGGGAATTTACGCGCGCGGGGCGTGAGTTATGAGGCCTGAGTTTTGTACCTAAGGCTATTGTGCATAATGATGGCAGGTTGGGAGAACTGCAAGCAGCCGCTAAAGACTTGCTACCTGTGGAGCAAAGACAACCAAGAGAAAGGGAGGGAGTGTTTGTGTGCGTGTGTGTCTGTGTGTGTGCGTGCGTCTGTTTGTATATGTGTTTGTTTGTGTGTGCGCGTGTGTTAGTGTGAGCAAAATATGTGAAATAAAGTAATATAAGGGCTAAGTGTGACGGAATCAAGAGACACCGGTGAGGGGGGAAACGAATCAAATGAACTGTAAGGATTTGGTTAAAGAAAAATATAAGATAAAGGAAATGATGCCATTAGAAAATAAATATGAGATACACCCAAAGTTCAGTTAAAGGTAGAATAATTCCCCTTTGATTCACAAATTATCGGCATGTGCATCAGTTCTGACTGTTTTGACCATTGACATTGGTCAGTGACTGATTCCACAAAGTCCAAAGTTGGATTTATCTGTCATTCATTGGGTCAATGGTCTTCAGCTGATTCACTCATCAGAGGCCATAAAGATCTGGTTAGCTTATGTTGCACTATCACCATCATCACAACAGATTATCTTTCCTTTCATTGTGTTTGTTAAGAAATATTTTGAAACCTACTGTAGAGATATTGCTTAAGGGTTTTCAGGGTTTTATGTTGTATTTTCCCTTACTTATATTACTATCTTTATGTTATGTTGCACGTTTTCTTATCTTTTTTATTGCAACATTTATTTTAGGTGTTTTCGCTTTACTGTTATTGATGTATAACATTTTACAGGCAAATTAGCTTTTAAATAAAAAAGGACGTTTCTGAAAATTAAGAGTTTAAAAGGAAACTGTTGGGTTTTGATATCTCAGCTTACTAAAAGCTCAACAAATGATAAACAGGTTTCTTTGTCCGGATCCTAAGGTTCTTGGAGACAGTTAGCAAGTGGATTTTTATCGCTAACATGTTGGTAATTTATAAGAAAAAGCAATCTGTGTATCTGGGGGTGGCAGAAAGAGGGTGAAAGAGGAGGGGCAGGCAATATGAGTAGTAATTTACTAAGTTAAGAGCCAAATGGTAGACAGACTGTCGCTCTGCGTGTTATCTCAGAGATTTGCACTCTGCTCGCTTTCTGACTATTTCCCTGCCTGTGTGTGTGTGAGAATGTGTTGTGCAGTTTGGTGTGCATATGCACGCAGTTGGGTTGTAGCTTTAGAATATCAGCATCATTTGAGCATTGCTTTGTTGTATTGTAAATCATGAAGGCTTTATGGCTTTACCAGCGCTCATATGTGTACGTAATGGTACATATTTGTTCATACACTGAGATTACAGTAGACGACTGCAGGCGGATTCGTGTGTGTATCTGCATGTGTCAGGGTTACATGTGCATTTGCTTGTGTGTTTGTACTTATGTGAGTGAATATGTGTGTTTTAACGAATCTTGGGAAGCGTCATTGCACTCATCAGGATATCAGTGTTGAGAAATGGCAGTGTCAGTGAAGTGACAGTTGTGTGTGTGTTAGGATTGATGGGCCTTAGTCTAACAGCAGCCATATTGTGAAGAGGGAAAAGGATGAAGGGATGGAGGGAGGAACTGAGGGAGGAGTATTGTAGCCCCCTCATCCTCACAGGTTAATATTGACACAGCCTGGGCAGATACAGTGCCTGCAGCGATCATCAATCACTTTCACTGGACCCAAACACACATACACACATTCAAGCAGAGAGAAGGACCACATACACTGTAAGATACACACAGAAAATAATACAAACTTTTAAAGTCGGGCAGAATCATTCTATTTAGACACGTTAAGCAAAATGATAAAAACTCACACATTAATGTAATGTGTTTGCCTCTATTAGCTTTACTAAAACGACAGTATCTCTTTTGTTTAAAAGTTCTACTTAAATAAGCACAAAAACAATTTTGACAACTTTACAAAACAAACAGTTGTACAACAAATCTAGATTAATCAAGCAAATATGTTTTCAAAAGTATCACTTTGTGTGTAACCCAGCGTTTCAAATTATGGTTTCCATAAGATTGTTGTTAATCATTTCAGAAAGAAAGAAAAAGCAAGTTTCCTTGACAAGCAAAACAATTAATTAATGCAACTTTCCATCCATCAATCATTGTGTGTGTCACTGAATTACCATAATCTGTGCATGGTGGCTGTTTTAAGAGCAAACAGTTAATTTCAAAACAATAAATCAAAAAGTGTCTCTACCCCTCTGTGCGTTTTGACAGCTTCGTCTCTCATTGCTACAGATGAAGCCTTACTTCAAACCATTTCAGTTTTCCTAAAATGTTTTAATCATATGCGCAATGAAAGGCAGGGGTCTAACAAAGTTTCCCATACAGCTGTAACCAAAATGTCTATTAATCACTTTGGGAATATTCAAATACAATGTAATAAATGCTTTTTTTTCATAATGACTTCATTAATAAAAAAAAAAGTTGCATTGGCCTAGTAATTAGCATTAGACATTTAAGATATTGATTCTTGCCCCTTCTTTCTGCTTATTTTTGTCTTTTTTTATATAATCTCCCAGGACTGGCATGGTTATGTGGACGGGCTGGAATCATTCAGCCATCGCCATGGCTATGAAGCTCTGGTGGGTCTCCTATCCACCAATGATACAGTTCACCATCCCCGCCAGCAGGTGGCTGTCTACTCTAACAACACAGATCTCCTAAACCAGGTAAATCACATTTACAACCACCAACACAGCCACGCACACACATGTCAAGAATAATGGTGCTTCTTTTATAAACACACCCCTATGAATAACGTTGAGGAATTACAATTTGCATTGTGATGTGTTTTTTTTCTTTTTCAATTTAATTAATCCTTTTTGGAACCCTAAGTGGAGCACAGTACAACCTGAACATATTATCAGGGGACTTATACCTATAACTTTTACGAGGGTTTTTGTCTACGTTTAAATTGTAAGATGAAAACCATGATGAAAACACAGGAAAACCCCAGACATTACAACGCTGTGGTAGAAAACTTTCCATCAAAAAGTAGTCACTCCCAAAGTATACTCTTCTTAGCATTGTAAACTGTAAATGGGACCATTATTTAAACAATGAACATAATGTTTACAACGTTTAATAACATAATAAATCAAGTGGGATTTCCTATCAATATTCCCATTGACTTATATACTATCAAAAATGCAACCAGAAGAGTCACTGGCCATTAGAAAGCATGCATATTTACGGCCCGTCCACACGGCGGCGTGCGTTGAAGCTTCAACGCTTTTTCCCATTCACTTTGAATGGGGTGATGTCACGCTTTGCCGAACTGCATTGTGGGAGTGTTGCTTCGCTTTGCTCGCTTCAAAAGTTGAGCAATGTTCAATTTTGAAGCTTCTGCGGAAGCATCAGCTAATCAAATCATATGCCAGTACAAGCTCTAACCAATCAAACCGCGTGCTTGTGTGTCCGGGGCGGGAGGTTCAAGCTTCAACGCACGCCGCCGTGTGGAAGCTGCGTTAAGGCCTGTATTGGCTTCACTTTTCAAAACCGGAGGTACAGCTAGCCGCAGAAGCTTAGGAGTTCCCGAAAAAAGCAAACAAGTTATTTTGTCTCGAATATTTAGTTTTTGAGGTACTGGTAGGCAGATTGTGTTACTTCTACTGTAAGTGGAGTTTTGCAAGCTTCTCCCCTTGTTTATTACTGTTAATTTGCCAGCTGCCTGTTGAAGCCTCATTTACTGAAGAGTTATTAGAGGGGTCGTCCACAGTTTTATTTCTCCTAACCCTGGGAAGGAAAACAAATAAGCTAACTATTGTTTTGAAGAAAATACATTAGAATAAGCCAAAAAGTAAAACATAATGGCTTTATATTGCAGATCTGCTGTGAGTTGGAAGAGTCTTCCAGCTGGTCTCTTTCTGGTGAAATGGAGGCCAGGGGGGGTCTCCAGGTCTATCACATTCCTATAAACACCTGCTTAACTTCCGGTACTCCTCCTCTGCTGGTAGAAGAAATAAAGGGCCTCCTCAGGGACTTTGTCGATCGGCGGAGCTCTGTATTAGCCTGCCACCCCAGCAGTAGGACCTCTTCCACAGAGGGAGTGGCAGGCAGTGTCGAGTTCTCCCAGGGATCATCTGGTATCAATGACATGGATGGCTCTGACATTGAGAGAACCGAGGGAGGCAGTGGAGATGTGGTGCCAATCGCAAGGTACTTAGATGCATTGCTGTATCATCCAGTATTGGTTCAAATCTCATATATATCTTGAAAAAACGTATGGATAGAAATCGACACAATTCATTGATGGTGTTTGTTTTATCTTTGCACATAGAGTGATGACTGATGGAGAAGAAGTCACAGGAGGGGTAGGTGCTGGTGCTGGTGGGGAGCTTGTGAGCCCCGACAGTGGTATGACCACCATCCGGAGCAGCCGCTCCTCCAAAGAGAGTTCGGTGTTCCTCAGTGATGACAGCCCAGTCGGGGAAGTTATAGCAGGAGGAGGACCAGCTGCAGGACCAGGAGGACTCTTCCTGAGAAACCCTTCTCCCCTGGGAATGTTATCCCTCTCACCTCCTGTTCCACCTGAGAGGAGGAAGAACCGCTGCGGCAGAAATAAGAATGAAAACTTAGACCTGTTTAGTTTTGACCCACTAAATAGCAGTGACCAGTCAATGCAAACAAGGGGAGAATTAGCAACTTCTGGAGCGAGAGTAGATGAAGTAGAAACAAGAGAAGGTAGCTCTAGCTTATCAGAACTTGATGAGCTCAGCTTGTTGGATTTCTCTGCTTCATTAGGTGGGCTTGACAGTAGACATTTTTCAATTGACGACCATGGTCAAATCCATGGTAGTGACATGACTGACACTGTGGTTCCTCCAACTCCAGTCAACAGCTTGGTAGGTAGCCGTCCACCCAGCAGTTGTGGGGTCCGGTTCTTTCCAGAAGATGTAGTTGAAAGGATTAATGGCCTGCAGCACAAGGACAGTGTGTCATCTTCATTGTCAGAGACCTGGGATGAACTTGGCTTTGAAACACAAGGAGCGATGTCCTTGAGTGACAGTAATGCCTGGAATAGGACCAAAGGATCTGAGAGCCCGCTGAATATCATAGAGGAAGATAGAGGGAAAGAGTCACTTGATGATATGACTGAACAAAACAGCAAAGAAGAGATCTTAAAATCAGAAAATGCCCAACAGAGGGGAAAGAACCTTGAGCCCCAGCTTAGTCTGATCACTGAGCAGACTGAATCATACGACACCTGGAACCCAGAGTCTGTAGGTCACGATAAGTGGAACACCATTACCTTACATAGTCTGCAATTGACACCACCAGAGGAGGAATGTATTGGAAAATGCAGGGCTGGTATCATTGGAGTGAAAGAAAAAACATCCTCATTGTTGAGAAAGAAAGCAACCCTAAACACTCTAACACCAGACACATCTAAAGAAGATGACGAAGGGGTCCAAGGGAAAAAAGGAGACAGGCAAATGGAGCTCCTAGATTTTTGGACATACTCAGCTCAGAAGGGATTTCTCAAATCAGATAGCGGAACCACCACGTCTTACCCTGAATCCCTAGATTTGTGGAATATGACAATCAGGGATGACAGTCTATCACCTCTCACGACCCCTGACAACTTGTCTGGAAACTCAGGTTCTTTCTGTGGGGTGATCCCAAACGTTAAGACTGGTGCATCTGTGGAAAGTCCAGAAGGATTCCCTGATGGTGGAATGGTGATGTGGAACACCACCATACAGGAAGACAGCTCTTCCACAGTAACAAGCCCTGAAGGACCTGGAAATGGAAAGAACCTTAGTCACATGGGATCCCTGGACACCAGTGATTCTCCAGAGACACATGTAAACAAACAGGTAGAACAAGAAACCGCTAAAGGGGAGGAGAGAGGTATGAATAAAGTACTTACTCAATCACCGGAAGAAGTGGGATGGAAAGGTTACGAACACAATGTGAAAATAGTTATAGAGGCTGCAGAAGGTACAACACAGTGTGAAGAAACAGGCGACGATGACTTCCAGAGTTTTCAGAGCCAAGAGTGTGTCTTGCAGGACTTAGCATCTGAACGTTCAGAATATGAGACTACCCCCCACCAAGGGACTGACATGTGGGACCTACCTGTGCCTGGCATGGTCACCTCTACTTCAGAATATGAAAATTTAGCAGCTGGCCCTTGGAGCCTGCCATCCTCCCCTGAGGCTCATTCTAGCCCCGCAGTAGACATGATACAGCTTGAGGAGCAGTCTAGCCCTTTTATAGCTGTGACAAGACCTAATCAGATCGAGGAGCCCAATCAATACCAGAAGGCTGACCCTCTGGGAAACACTGAATCCAGAGCAGATATTTCAGACAAAGAACAAACGACCAACCAAGTGTTCCTTTTTGAGGGAGCTAGTGAGTTGGGTCACATGATTAGCAGTGAAGTAAGTTCAAATGAGAGTAATGAGGACCAAACAACATCAAAGGAAGCTGATTGGATTGAGCAACATAGTGATCATTCCCCATTTGTCCTGGTGGACTACTCCACTGTCACTCAGATCACTTCACCTAAACATCATTCAGGTCCAGGAGAAGCTGCTGATACTCAAGTGCCGTGTGACCTATCATTATCCCCAAGTCTTGTTGACAATCCTGTTTTGAAAGATAATGCCACTGAAAGTGAAAGTGGTCATGACAATGAGAGCAATGGAAATGCAGTGGGAAGAACTACAGAAACCATGTCCTTAAGCTCCAGCTCTGGGGGGGATAGAGACACGCTGAAATATAGCCCCGACAGCCTTCGCCCAGGTAGTCTAGACGAACTCCGATCCAATTCAGATGGAGATTCATCCTCAGGCCTAGAAATGGATTACATCATTGTGTCTGGCACAGTAAAAGAAGCTGAGAGAGAATGGCATGATAGGCCTAAACAGTGTGTCAGTCAATCAAAAGGTACAAGAAAGTCCATGGAGACATTTAGCATGCTTTCTTATGCTGCCACTGTTCTACAAGCCCAAGCCAAAGCTGCAAACAGAGAGCACCAGGAGAACCCAGAACAAAGTATACAAAACCAAATTATCAGAGGTACTGACAGCACACAAAGCAAAGTAACAGAGCAAAGTCAAGCTGTCTCATGCCCACAATACCAAGCAAGTCTTGATATTACCACTGAGCATCACATGGTGCCACAAATAATCAGTCATAGCCAGTCAAAAACTAACTCTGAATCCTTTCATCAGTCAGATTCAAGATCAACAGAATGCAGTCCAACACAGGTAGAAGAAGGCAACTATGACGATAAGTCAAGCTTTGTGGCCAGAAGTGTGTCCCCATCACTTAGATATCCATCAGACCACTTCCTGAAGACCAGAGAGGAAGTTTATGTCCATTCACAGATTTCAATGGAAGATTCAGACGAGGGAGGGCAGTCACCCTCTGCACCTACACAGTGCCCCACTTCTTTGGGAGACCTTCAAGGCTGGGGGTCCCAGTTAGTGGGACAGGATGCACCGCAAACCACATGTGAACCACAATCACCTATACTTACCAACAGTTCAGTCTCCCACACCAGCTCTTTGCTTGGCACCCCTTTAAGTGAATCTGTCTATTCTACTCAAAGAGGACTTGGATTACCATTTTCTGGAGATTTGATGGAGGGTGAGAATGATGAAGAAGAGCTGGAGAAGATAACTGATAAAGAGAGCACAGAAAGACAACACTCAGGATCTTGCGATCTGCTAAGCTTCACTGAGGAGCTGGTTGGAGGTTCATCATTTCAACAAACAGGCTTACAAACTCTTGAGCCACAGAGGCTCCTACCAAATACAGTGGATTACTATAATGGCCAACCAGTAAGGACTGTTGATTGTGATGAATGGTTGACTGAACAACACATTGGAGATCATCAATCTTCTCAAGATCGCTTTGCACCTGTTTCGAGGTAAGCAAAAACTATGTATTAAGCTCTGTTTTATTCTACCTTGGACACACTTATAATTATTCAAAAGCAAGAACAATTATGTCATACCAAAAAAAAAATGAAGATAGATATTCAAGTTAAAAGACAACATACTCACCTTTTTGTCATGTACATCTGCTGTAGCCTTGCAAATGGTTATTGTTTGATTTCCAATTTTTTTTAGATATCCGTTACTGAGACTTCTAACTCTACACTAGAGAATACATATGCCTGTGCAGATGTATTGGTTCCGCTCAAACACACACACACACACACACACACACACACACACACACACACACACACACACACACACACACATACACACACACGTGCCGTGCCAACCACCCCTTCCCTCATGCTCCTTTAGTTCTCTGTTCAGTGTTTTAGTCTCTACAGCTTTCACAATGGTGTGAATGTCAGAGGAATATGGGAATCACTGAACAGACGGTCGGAATAGAGCTAGAAGGCCCTCGTGAAGAAATGAGTTATGTGTGTGTGTGGGTGTGTGTGTTGTATTGGTGAGTTAAAGACTAAGATTGACAGTGAGGATGTGAAAATGAATATGAGTGGTGTGACAGAAACTGATGTTGTGTCCGTCTGTGTGTTTGTGTATTGTTAGCGCAAAACAAACTGCATTTGTATGTGCATGTATTTCATTTGATTGTCAGGAAGCTTTGATCTGCAGCTCTGTGTGTGTTTATAAATCTGTTTACGCCTCATTAAATATGCATTACCTGCCTCATTACAGCTGGAGCCCCACCACAGCTAATGGAAACAGCTCCCCTAGCTCTCTTAGAAGGTGTGGGTGTGAGTGCATGCGTACAGGACTGTGTTTGAATGTTTGATTAGGTAATACCCAATGTATCAGTCAATAATAGTTTGTCCGTGTAGTTTCAATTTTACATTATCAATGAGTGAATACAATAGCCTCTTTGTGTCTATGTTTTTGTTTGCTTTCGTTGAATAGTTTTTGATATACTGTATGTGAAGTGGACTCATTGCTTCAATGTTTGTTATTCTGGACAAGTATTGCAAGATTTGGTTTTTGAATTAATGAATAGCAAGCAGAAAATGATTCTGCTTTGTGTGGATTTAAACACTGTTAAAAGTACCCTGTGGAGTTTTCTTGTAAACAAATGTTCTGTTTAAATAGGTGTTACTCACCAAAACACAATGTGTGTCCTTGAGGCCTAACAGACATGTTGAGTGCATTTCCTTCTTCAGAAAACATTTGCAATACATCTTATTTGTAGCTTTTGCAACCTGTTTTTGCTGGGGCAGTTCTACATTTACTTTCTGACATCTTTCAATCACTTATAATTGCAGGAATGTATATTGCACTTACTTGCATTCTCACCACACACGTGTCTTCATGTGTGTGGTGAGAACAGATGCAACACCCACCTGCAAACACCGTGCTTTATATTGCTACTAGTGGTCAAAAACTCCACAGGTTACCTTTAATGTAAAGCTAATATTAGGATTTAAACTCAACAGTGTGTTGGACAAACCACAGAACAGCAATTGACCAATGAAGATCTCATCTTGCAATCCATTCGAATATAGTATATATATTATAAAATATAGAATACAGTGGAGCAGATCATGAATGTATTGAATATAGTAATTTAAAGAAAAACATGATAGTGTTAACGTCAAAAAACATGAGTCATACAAAATACTAAAGGCAAATGGATGAGGTTCCTTGTCTCATTTGAATTTACAATTATTTCTGAATTTCTCCTTCTTTCTGTACTGATCCCTTATCCCCTATTCCCCTGAAAGAAGACAACAAGATGCGACTTCACAGCTTTCCTCCTCGCCAACCAACGAGAACGCTGCTTACCAGTGGACAGGAACTGAGAATGTAACCCAGGGCCAAACACAATACGGCTACAGCTACCACCACATTGACCATAGAACTGAAAACCAGTGCGCCCAAACAGCCTGTATGGATGAACATGGTTCTGAGTTTCAATATATAGCTGAAAGCCAGTATGGAGATGACTCCAACTCCATGTTCGCCTATGAACTCCAGTCCTCTCAGTATCAAGCTGATGGCCAGAGTCGGAATGAGACTTACGAGTTTGACGGACAGCCTTTCTACCAATCAAATGTCCACCCTGAGAGGGAAGATCATGCGCTGTATATGCCAGAGGAAAATATGTACTCTCTCCCATCAAGGTGAGCTTTTGCTCATACTGACTAAATGTTGCTCCTCAGTAGGTTCAACAGACTCAGCACTGTGTGAAAATGTGGGTGCTCTCATGTCCTTTTTGTATCAGACATCCCTTTTTCAAGTTAGCCTCCAAAAGACAATGTCATTTTAAATGAGTTTTTATTTCATTGTCTTTTCTTAAAAGCTGAAACATGATCATAGTTGTTTACTGTTCATTATAAATGAGGGAGAAAGAGAGCGCTAAGGATGTGCATAGACTTTCCACAGACTAAAAGCTGTACTACTGACTTTTACCACAAAGAGGCAGCACAGATCATTTTAACGCTGCAGTCCTTACAATATGTTGTACTTTGATGAACAGGTTCAAATATATTTATTAACTATTTCAGTGCATCCTGTGACATGATACATAATACAAAACGTTTTGAAGAAGCAAGATTGGGTCCATTTCTGATTTACAGAACTCAAAATGTGCAAAGACTGTGGCTGTGCTTAGGTCATGCAAAAGATAATCTACCCAAATCAGCAGGAGTGAAATTTAAAAGAAGTGTCAGTTTTGTTTATAGAGACCAATACCACCATTTTCCCTCAATTAGTCAACACATGATACCCCCTTTCTTTACACAATCAATAAGGATTAAGAAAAATAGAAAGAACTGCAGGAGGAGGAACTGAGGAGTACTGACTTGACCAGCGTATACCAATACAATATAGAACATCAAAGGGTGTTTGTCTATAAGGGACGGCCTTACAACATATTCAGTTGAGTTGCATTATGGGAAATACAGGACACATGCTAGAGAACAAAATTCCGATGTCTTTTTCAAATGATTGCTCACCAAAGATGTATTTTTTTTTGGCTCAATCAAAATTGAAATTAGTATTCAGTTAGTGTACATGCATACGTGTATTTTGTGTGTGTGTGTGTGTGTGTGTGTGTGTGTGTGTGTGTGTGTGTGTGTGTGTGTGTGTGTGTGTGTGTGTGTGTGTGTGTGTGTGTGTGTGTGTGTTCTGCAGTTTAATTGCTCCTTGTTAGCAGTTGCACCATGGTACTTGTTTTGCCCCACTTTGTAATTGTGGTGACC